TAAATGATTTTCATCTAGAAACACTAACTTTGGTTTTTATCTTGAGGTTAATCTCAGTAAAAAGCTTATATTTGACCGATCCCTATTCACATATCAATAATATGTAATAAGATTTGAATGTACGCACATCACTTGATGGAAGAAGTCTTCCTCCAGAAACATACATGTATTCTGCTCTGTAGTCAACAATAACTATGAAACTCATAATCGAGTTGAGAAAAATTGTCTATTCTTTAAAAAAATTTTACTGATTGAAAATGAACAGTTTTTCCTTAACCAAAACTCAAACTATTTTCATTCAATTTTTGACGCTATATGTCTGAGTTTATTATTAATGTGAACATGTATTGATTACATGTATGCGTGTAGAAAAAAACATTGGAATCTTCATTCCATAAAACGATCGAGCTATAGCATTATGATAGAATTTCTTAGAGTATATAATTATTTAAACTTTTTAATCAGTTATGTTGTTCTTTTGTCATCATCGAACTAAATAGTTTTAAAGGATGAAATCGAGGTATTGCGGAGAAACAACAATGAAATGGATCCGATCACACGTACACTTTTCTCATCCGACTTTTTTTTCTTTATTTATGCTTGAACGTCTAAATTTACAATGAACAATCATTCTGTATTATTATATTGATCCAATCGCTGTTTTTCATTATTTCATATTCGTCGGTCATGTATATCGTCGAGGTGTGATATCACTTCAAGACAGAAAGCATAACAGTTGAACATTATTTCATCTATCTTTTTTCATCGTGATGTTTCCATTCATTTATCACATGCCGAGGCTCGCTGTCGTAAACAAAGGATAGCGCTCTGTGTTTGTCTTATCTTTTCTTTTTCTGATCTTATATAAGCCATGGTACTTTACACTTTTCTTCAGTCTTCCAAGAATTATGAAAGATGAAAACTTTGCAAATAATCATATTGATATTCGTTGTGGTAAACCAATAACATTTATCAATAACAACAATCTGAACTGTTTTTTATTAAATCATATGCGTACTCGGTTCACCACACATGAAGCCTGCTGGATCAACCAAATTAAATACTCTGTCTACACGCGTGAGATCAATAGCAAGATTAACGATTCTTGTATACTTTATCGTGATAATAATACGAATAGTATTGGTTTTATTATGGCTATAATAAATGAAAGCGAACATATACAATCTGTTATGCCTGCAAATCTGGTTCATTATGATGAATTTCTTTTACGGAAAGAATTATTTAGAAACATATCTGTGGTTTATGAAGAATTAATTGATACATCGGAATTCAAGTTGTTTCACATACTCATTTGTTTTTCGGAAATTAGTTTTTAAATTTGAACAAGAAAATAATTGTGCATTTTTTATTTTTATAAATACAATTGAAAGTACATAAATAAAAAAATATTCTCACATATGTTTCGCCAGGAAATAAATATTTATCATGCTGAGACAAGTTCACTGTTTTCCATTAATTCATTCGAGCATGAAGAAGACAAACATCTTCAGAAATAAGCTAGAGACAGAACTGAATACAAAAATATTTCTTCAAAAATATCAGAAGGCATACGATTATGTGTATTGTGCACGTGAAAAAAGTTGGTCAGAAAAAATTTCGATAAAAAAAAAGTATCTCATTTACACTCAAAAGTTCAAAGTTTTGAGGTACAATGGGCGTTTTTCGTTAGAAATAACGTTTGAACCACTTTTATACATAAATTTGACGAAATTTGGCTGAAAAATGAGTAGAAAAAAGTGGAAAAAAAAGGAAATGTCGAAAAAATCGACAAAAATACGATTTTTTGTGCGTTTTTTGACATAAGCGAAAAAAACGCATAAAATTTGACTAAAAGTTGCTACTTTTGTTCAAAAAACGTGAAAAATCGATATGTCTGTCTGCTTGGGTAGGAAAGGAATTGATCATGTACCAAAAGGTGATCTAGATCGCGGCGTCAAAAATTAGTCACACAGAATTTCGTCTATTTTAAACACAGAAGATGAATATATAAAATAAACTGTTCTTTATAAACTGTAGAGCTTTTCATGCTGTATCTATGGCTTATTTTGTTTCTTTAATAAAGCATACCAAGTGATGAAAAGATGAAACAAGAAAAAACGAATTCGTCGTGTACTAAAAAATTCTTTTTTTTCTAAATGTCAAAAATTAGTGGCTCAGAATTTGGCCCATTTTGAAAACAAAAAGTGCAATTCTAAAATAAACTGTCTTTTATAGACATCATATCTATAACTAACGCACTTATGCGCATTCTGTCTTTGTTTTGACATTTTATTGCGTTTTCATTAAACGATAGAATATTTCGGACCGTGATGATCGAATATCCCTTCCAAGAGACATTTTCTTTATGATGTCATAATGCATCAACAAATCGGTTAAAAAATTCAGAAATGGTCTCATTCGACAGCTTAATGCTGCGCCTCACGATGCCACTCAAAAAAGCAGACTTTCACATTGTATCAATAAATGAGCAAAAGTTTTAAAGTAAAAACATGACATTCAAAAAATGATGTCTTAAAAAATCCATTGTTTCGTCTAACAGGCACTCAAGACTGATCTTTTTCTCTTGTCATGATCTATCAGGTTGTCTTAGTCTAAGAACCCACGGAAAAAAATTCCAAAAACCGCGGTATTCTGCAGCACGTTTAAAAAAACTGCAGTACGCTATCCAATAACCGCGGTATTACATATAGTGATTATTACCGGTTTTACAAACCGCGGTGAACTTTAAGTAAGGTGTGGGAAATCTTGTTATATTCAAGTGTACGTGTTAACCGCGGCTGGACTCAGTTCCGAAAACCGCGGTGTTATATACCGGGGCTGGACGCGGTTTCACAAACCGGGTTTGTCATATAAAGAACCGCATCCTACGAAACCGCGTTTTTTGTGTGAGCAACTGCAGTGCATGTTGATGTCAAGTGGAATGTGTAGGGACAAGTAGGATGTCGTGCTTCACTTTTTCCATGAAATTTATGGATTTTTTTTTCCAATAGTTAATCGGACTCTACAAAGCAACTTTGCAGAATTGTGACTCGAAAGAGTTCGCTACACTGCCCCTAGAAGGGCCTCATACCTGAAACCTTCAAGGTTCAGGTAATGGTCGGCACATTAGAGTCAGCCGACTCTGATGTTTTGGGAAAAATTCGTAAAAAAGCTGCGGTAACAAACAATGAAAAAAAACCGCGTTCTGGAACGGTTTTTCAATGTAACGGTAATCAGACTATTTATGCGGTTTCAAAAACCGCTGAATACCGCATTTTCAAAAAGCGCGGGTTTTTAGCTGTTTTCATAACCGCGAAAGTCAGATCATTTATTCGATTTTAGAAATCGCTGAATATCGCGTTTTTGAAAACCGCGGTTTTAGTTACCGCGGCACATCGCGGTTTTTCAAATTTTTTTTCCCATGGGAAAACACTGAGTCTTGTATATGAAGTTTTATTACATATTTTATCGAGATTTTTCTAATGTTCCTTGAAAGAGACAGTTGGCTTTTAAGGATTAACGGCCTTATTCGTTGATTTTTTTGGCTTTTTAACAATGCTATCAAAGAACAATGTACTTTAATAATATCTTGATTGAAAATCGCAATATTTCATTGCCAATGAATTACATTTCGTCAACAATTTCATGATAGATAATATACAATTAGATTAATCTCAACCAACATTTTCTTGACAGAATCGTAATCATATCTTATGATGCATTCATGTTTTATACGTTAGTAATTATTCATTGTTGAAAAACATAGCCTTGAAGTTTATAATGTAAAACTCAGTACAGAACATGAAAGAAATTCGGCAAAAATTATGATAATATATCGACCAGATCTTTTGCTATCAGGTGATTACATGTATATAATTGAATAAAATGTCCTTATTCATCGTGTTCTCTTTGGCACTCAGATCCAGCATTCTCGATTGTACATGGTCATGTACCGATCAATTACGGTGACAAATGGCTAACATTTAAGAATCATTATCGAAAACTGAAATTTTATTTTTAATCGTTGTTTTAACTATCTCGATCGGTGTTTCAATATTATAAATTATTTCAATGCGTACAGATAAACGAATGATCAATTTTTCAAATAAGAAAGAAAAAATGAGTAACACGCAAAACTCTGTTGTTTTCTATTTTATTTTCATCATAAGAATTTTATACAGGGTGGTCCATAAATAACTGTGCGATAAGAAATTCAAATATCTCCGCCAGATGTCGACCTATCGGGCTGAAATTTTTACCAGTGATAGAGGCTTACTTAAAGTTTTTTTTGGTAAAGGCCACATAACGAGATCAATGTTCTTATGTATTAGGATAACATCAATACGAATTTTCTACTTGTTACGAGTCCTATCAAATGTCATAAGATGATTTCTGCGCATTTTCAAGACTTCTTTTTCAGATAACTGACATGAGAGAATCAAAAGAAAGTGTATTATATCAATCACAGTAAATACAAACTGAGATTATAGAACAAATTAATTCAAATGTTCGAATTGACGCCCATCAGCATCGATGCACTTCTGAAGTCTTTCTGGCACTGATTCACAAACTTTCTTGCACAGATCAGAATCTATTGCTGAAAAAGCTGAAATAATTGATTGTTTGAGACTGGATAAGGTTCGATGCTTCTTATGGTAAACAGTATCTTTCAGATAACCCCACAAAAAATAATCAGCAGGAGTAAGATCAGGCGATCGAGCAGGCCAATCAAGCGCACCACGATGACCAATCCACCTTGCTGGAAAATTTTCATCTAACCAATCTCGAACATTGGATCCATAGTGTGCTGGCACGCCATCGTGCATGAAAACAAAAGATTCACTATTAGGTAAATCACAAAACAATGGATAGAAACAATCACTCAACATTTCGACGTAACTTTGACTAGTCAGCGTGCCATCGAAGAAATAAGGTCCGATTACACCTTGAGAGGATAGACCAGCCCATACAGTAACACCTTCAGTTTGCATAGTGTGCTCCTATGTAAGATTTGGATTTTGTATTGCCCAATAGACAGAATTATGACGATTAATATGTCCATTGAGTTTGAATAATGCTTCATCAGACCAAATGATATGATGAATAAGATCCGGTTCGGTTTCGAGGAGCGATAGAAATGTTTCACAATATTCAATTCGTCGGTCGAAATCATCTTCATTGAGTTCATGAACTAATCTGGGAATATATGGCTTAAAGCCCATAGACTTGTAAATACGTCGAACTGAAGATCTTGAAATACTTAAATCTGTACTCATTTTACGAATCGACGTTCGAGGTTCTTTTCGCAAAGCTGATGAAACTTCGTCTTTTGCAGCTTGGTCAGTAACTGATACAGGTCTACCAGGTGGTCCAATATCGAGTACGGAACCAGTTTGTTCAAATTTTTTCATCAACGCTCTTATCGCATTACGATGTGGAGGATTGTTATTTATTTCCTTACACCATAATCTTTGAACATTTATTGGATATTCAAGACGATACATATGTTTGACAATCCATGTCTTCTCATTCACACTCAATTGATGTCGAGCCATGTGCTATATTGAATCTGAAATTTATGAATATATAGACTTTCTTGACTAGAGAAT